TTATATAATATAAATAACAAATTAAGACTAATTAATTTCTCAACAAAGATAATTTAGATGAATAGTATCCTCAAACATTAATTAGACCCTAAAATTTTTCATTTAATTTTAATTATAAAAGAATAAATTACGTAAATAAATCTATTTAATAATATGAATTCAATTTTTTTATATGCTCATATTCTTTGTCTTTCACTTTTTATTTTTATATTCTCAATTATTTTATCATTATTAGTTTTCAATACATATATAATATAATATAATGCGTTAAAATGAAAGAAGATGAATGGATGCCTAAAATTAATGAAGAGTAAAAGTATAGGGTTGTAATGCATAGCATAATAACTATTTATAGATTATAATTTTTTCTAGCATTTTCATTTTCTTCTTCTTTGTGTACAATTGAGAAGTTTCATTTTACTTTATAATGTATTGATTAGATATTAAATATTTTTATTTTTATTTTAACAGAGAAATATACATTTTATTAAAAAAATAGTTTTTTTTAACTCATGCGTTGCACAGGGTTATTTTTATGTTTTTTATATTAATTATTTAATTTTATAATAATTTTTAATCAAAAAATTTTCATTAAATTAAATATTAAGAAATTATTAATAGAAATAAGTGTTTTTTATTTTAAATTTGTCTTAAATTAATTTGTCATCATTTTTATTTTTAAGGTAGATATATTTTTTTCCTATGTTCTTATCATTATCTATTTATTTTCGGTAATCATCCACTTACAAAAACTCTTTTTCTTATCTTTTATTTCTTTTTTAAGGTTATAATGGATAAATATAGAAATTCTCTTTAAATACTTAATTTAGAGAAAAAGCAAAAAATAATAGCTATTTTGGAATAGAGAGAATACGATAAATTCAATAATAAATACATTCATATATTTTATAATAAATCAATTATCTTACATATTTTATTTCTATCAACCAAATGTATTTTTCCTTTAAGTAAATATCTATTTTAATTTGTTAGACTCTTTTGCCATCTTTTTTACATATAAAACTAATAATTTTAATCAATTTTTTACATATCATTTTATCTTCTTTCTTTTTATAACATATATTAATGTCACACATATCAAGAATGTTATAATCTCTTTGAATTAGTTTTAATTTTAAGTTATATTAATTATTATTATTTATAATACATTTAATACATTTTAAAATATAAAATTACTATGCCATTAAAATTATATAATGAATAATTATTAATTTTAGGTTTATGTGGAAGATCAAGTGTTACCCCCATGTAAATATATATACCTTTAGCATGCATTTAATAATTAAAATACATTATAATTCTTTATTTTTATCCTTTATAAAATAATGATAAAATAATGATAAAATAAATTGAAAAGATAAAGCTAATATAAGAAGAGAAAGAAAATGAAAAGTTAAAATAATAAAAACATTTATTACATTTTAATGTAAAAACAATACTTTCTTATTTTTTATTATTTTTTTAACAAAGTTTCTTCTTCTAAGAAAAAAAAGAAAAGAAGGAAAAAACAAAGTTTCTTGTATAATTAACAAAAATGACAAATTTTAGTGCCTATTTAATTCTTGAAGGTAGTGTTTTATATAATATATAAATTATTCATTGTTGGATATATAGATTTTCTTTATAGATAGGGTAGCATTTTTATTTTCCTTTTTAATATAAATTTTATTAATTGTGAATCTAATAATCAAATAATTTTTACCTCATACTTCTATTATTATTTTTTTCATCTTCCTTAGTTATTTTTAATTCTTATTTAATCGAATTCATAATCCTTAAAAATTAAAGTTAAAAAGTATCAACTATTGTTTTAATTAAAAATCAAATTATAGTTATTCTTAATATGTAAGATCTACATGAAATATTATAAAATAAAAAAAGATCTTAACAATTCTATATATATATTTTTTCCATAAATCTTTGCCAACTCTTTCTTCTTCGATTGCTTAACTTACAAAATTTTATTTTATGGTTCTTTTCTTATCCCTTCTATCATTTCCAATTTCTTGTCATTTCTTCCATTCCTATTTTATTCCTTAACTTGTTTTACAAACTATTTTGATATATTAATATAAGTACTTAAATTAAAGTTACAAAAAAAAAAAGGTGATCTGAACGAAATTTTAGTACAATTGAATTGTAATACCCCAAAATTTTAGCACTTATGTGGATTAATTAATTAATTAATTAATTTAGATAGAAGATGACTAGTATAAAAAGGGATTTTAATGGGGCACCTAGTTGTCTCATTCTTCAATCTTGGGGGAAGTTAGTTGCAAAAAAAAAAAAAAAAAA